TTTGAATATTACATGTTAATAACTTGATTGGAATTATAACCTTGAGTTGACAGTTTGATACTTTGAAAATTTTGAGCCAGCCCTACCCCCAAGGGCTGTAGGGTGGGGCTCAAGGGAGTCAGTGTGCTAAAATTTCTTCATTTTCCTTGTTTAGAATCAGAGGTGCTAGTTTCAAATCCTTTTTAGTCTGAAATCTGTATGCTTGATATTGAATAAGGTGGTTTTATTGTTTTTTGTCACTTTGAATAATATTTCTGTTCATGTTAAAAACGAAATCAACTCTCTGTATAAATATATCAGGTGACCGTTAAGGCCCATGGGCCTCTTGTTTTTATTACTTTTATTTTTTGTTTTCAAATACTCAAATTTTTAAACATCAATAATTCTGAAAAATATATTAAAGGATGAGATTTATATCCTCAGTAGAAAATGACATACATTTTTCGTTATAGTGACAATGGTAATACATGTAACAAATTTTAATTGGATGGTTCAATTTATCAAAGCTCACCGATCTCGACACAGCTTGTTTATTAAATTAAAAGAAAATCTGCACAAAAAAAATACTAAAAGAATAACAGACAAAGTAGTTAACATACAGTTCAATGTATATAATTATAAGCATTGTTGTTTTATTTATTCATATTTGGTACATCAGTATTAGTTGTATGCCTTTATGAATAGGTGGTAAACATGCTAAAATATGTACCATAACATCTACAGCTATCCTCATACAGAAAAAGGGATATTTATATACTCAGTTTTTATACAAGTTAATTATTCATACACGACCAAAAACCTAGGAATTAAAAACAATTTCTCCCGATGATCAGTTGTACATGAGTTGTGGATATCCCTTTAACTGGTATCATGATACTTGTATAAGTAACCATAATTTCATAAAGTTCAAACAAAACTTAAATTTTTCAATTAACTTTGACCAACTTAATTGGAACTTGGGAAAGAAACAGTTACATTATAACACACATGATTTGATTCTATCCCTTAGAGAAGGCATGACTTGTACAATCTTCTTTTTGATATAACCAGTGTTGAACATATGTCACAGTTCATGGTTGCGAACTACCATGATACTGCGTAATCATTTAAAACACAGGATTACATGATATTTTGAAGGTCATATTGCCTATCGTCAGGAATTGGTATTTTAGTGACAACACAGTTATGTAAATCTGTTAAGTGTATACAACAATGATAATACAAGGTGTTTGCCTAGCAATGACCCAATTGTTCACAACGTTTTGCCACAATGTACTAGTACGTCTACTTTATTACTCCCACCTTGACCACAAAGTTTTAGAACATTTTACTCGGCTGTCACAAGATGTAAACCCTTTACATGTTTAATAGAGGGACATAACTTCATGCAACACAATCCCTCAAATTAAAAGTATCTTTATAACACTGTTATTGTCATGTTTACAAATATTCAAAAACAGGTATCTATATAACACTGTTATTGTCATGTTTACAAACATTCAAAAACAGGTATCTATATAACACTGTTATTGTCATGTTTACAAACATTCAAAAACAGGTATCTATATAACACTGTTATTGTCATGTTTACAAACATTCAAAAACAGGTATCTATATAACACTGTTATTGTCATGTTTACAAACATTCAAAAACAGGTATCTATATAACACTGTTATTGTCATGTTTACAAACATTCAAAAACAGGTATCTATATAACACTGTTATTGTCATGTTTACAAACATTCAAAAACAGGTATCTATATAACACTGTTATTGTCATGTTTACAAACATTCAAAAACAGGTATCTATATAACACTGTTATTGTCATGTTTACAAACATTCAAAAACAGGTATCTATATAACACTGTTATTGTCATGTTTACAAACATTCAAAAACAGGTATCTATATAACACTGTTATTGTCATGTTTACAAACATTCAAAAACAGGTATCTATATAACACTGTTATTGTCATGTTTACAAACATTCAAAAACAGGTATCTATATAACACTGTTATTGTCATGTTTACAAACATTCAAAAACAGGTATCTATATAACACTGTTATTGTCATGTTTACAAACATTCAAAAACAGGTATCTATATAACACTGTTATTGTCATGTTTACAAACATTCAAAAACAGGTATCTATATAACACTGTTATTGTCATGTTTACAAACATTCAAAAACAGGTATCTATATAACACTGTTATTGTCATGTTTACAAACATTCAAAAACAGGTATCTATATAACACTGTTATTGTCATGTTTACAAACATTCAAAAACAGGTATCTATATAACACTGTTATTGTCATGTTTACAAACATTCAAAAACAGGTATCTATATAACACTGTTATTGTCATGTTTACAAACATTCAAAAACAGGTATCTATATAACACTGTTATTGTCATGTTTACAAACATTCAAAAACAGGTATCTATATAACACTGTTATTGTCATGTTTACAAACATTCAAAAACAGGTATCTATATAACACTGTTATTGTCATGTTTACAAACATTCAAAAACAGGTATCTATATAACACTGTTATTGTCATGTTTACAAACATTCAAAAACAGGTATCTATATAACACTGTTATTGTCATGTTTACAAACATTCAAAAACAGGTATCTATATAACACTGTTATTGTCATGTTTACAAACATTCAAAAACAGGTATCTATATAACACTGTTATTGTCATGTTTACAAACATTCAAAAACAGGTATCTATATAACACTGTTATTGTCATGTTTACAAACATTCAAAAACAGGTATCTATATAACACTGTTATTGTCATGTTTACAAACATTCAAAAACAGGTATCTATATAACACTGTTATTGTCATGTTTACAAACATTCAAAAACAGGTATCTATATAACACTGTTATTGTCATGTTTACAAACATTCAAAAACAGGTATCTATATAACACTGTTATTGTCATGTTTACAAACATTCAAAAACAGGTATCTATATAACACTGTTATTGTCATGTTTACAAACATTCAAAAACAGGTATCTATATAACACTGTTATTGTCATGTTTACAAACATTCAAAAACAGGTATCTATATAACACTGTTATTGTCATGTTTACAAACATTCAAAAACAGGTATCTATATAACACTGTTATTGTCATGTTTACAAACATTCAAAAACAGGTATCTATATAACACTGTTATTGTCATGTTTACAAACATTCAAAAACAGGTATCTATATAACACTGTTATTGTCATGTTTACAAACATTCAAAAACAGGTATCTATATAACACTGTTATTGTCATGTTTACAAACATTCAAAAACAGGTATCTATATAACACTGTTATTGTCATGTTTACAAACATTCAAAAACAGGTATCTATATAACACTGTTATTGTCATGTTTACAAACATTCAAAAACAGGTATCTATATAACACTGTTATTGTCATGTTTACAAACATTCAAAAACAGGTATCTATATAACACTGTTATTGTCATGTTTACAAACATTCAAAAACAGGTATCTATATAACACTGTTATTGTCATGTTTACAAACATTCAAAAACAGGTATCTATATAACACTGTTATTGTCATGTTTACAAACATTCAAAAACAGGTATCTATATAACACTGTTATTGTCATGTTTACAAACATTCAAAAACAGGTATCTATATAACACTGTTATTGTCATGTTTACAAACATTCAAAAACAGGTATCTATATAACACTGTTATTGTCATGTTTACAAACATTCAAAAACAGGTATCTATATAACACTGTTATTGTCATGTTTACAAACATTCAAAAACAGGTATCTATATAACACTGTTATTGTCATGTTTACAAACATTCAAAAACAGGTATCTATATAACACTGTTATTGTCATGTTTACAAACATTCAAAAACAGGTATCTATATAACACTGTTATTGTCATGTTTACAAACATTCAAAAACAGGTATCTATATAACACTGTTATTGTCATGTTTACAAACATTCAAAAACAGGTATCTATATAACACTGTTATTGTCATGTTTACAAACATTCAAAAACAGGTATCTATATAACACTGTTATTGTCATGTTTACAAACATTCAAAAACAGGTATCTATATAACACTGTTATTGTCATGTTTACAAACATTCAAAAACAGGTATCTATATAACACTGTTATTGTCATGTTTACAAACATTCAAAAACAGGTATCTATATAACACTGTTATTGTCATGTTTACAAACATTCAAAAACAGGTATCTATATAACACTGTTATTGTCATGTTTACAAACATTCAAAAACAGGTATCTATATAACACTGTTATTGTCATGTTTACAAACATTCAAAAACAGGTATCTATATAACACTGTTATTGTCATGTTTACAAACATTCAAAAACAGGTATCTATATAACACTGTTATTGTCATGTTTACAAACATTCAAAAACAGGTATCTATATAACACTGTTATTGTCATGTTTACAAACATTCAAAAACAGGTATCTATATAACACTGTTATTGTCATGTTTACAAACATTCAAAAACAGGTATCTATATAACACTGTTATTGTCATGTTTACAAACATTCAAAAACAGGTATCTATATAACACTGTTATTGTCATGTTTACAAATATTCAAAAACAGGTATCTATATAACACTGTTATTGTCATGTTTACAAATACAAATATTCAAAAACAATTATGCATAATATTTAGACACTTTTAAAATGAACACAATAAAACAGTATTTCTTTTACACCTTTTGGGTTGAATGATAATGTTATTGATGTTTTATAAGGGGAATTTATAAGGCAATGTTGTAATATCTAGATCTTCTTTTTTAGTTGTTGATAAAACAAAGAGAACAAATTTGAGAAGTAATGAATGAAAACAAATAATAAAACAGCAGTTGTAATTTTAAAAAGTTCAAAACAGAATGCTAATTTCACACCATAAAACAGACCTGTGCTATATTGGAACACAATTTTGAAAGGAGAATGGTCAGAAAAATCTACTTCATTTTTTAATATAAATTGACATATTCTTAATATAGATTGAACATATTTTTTGCCCAAGAAACAGCTGCAGGTAGATTTGTCAACACAAATCAATAGCCAGCTTTGAAATGTTGTACCTGATCTTGTTTATAGTCTTTTTAATATGATTCAGTACTATTCAATAGTTTTTAAGTTTCAGCATTACATTACCAGGTTATTGACATTCAGACTTTCTGAATTTTGAGGCATAGTCTTTAAAATTGTGATCCTGAATTTTAGGTAAATGAGACACAAATTATTTGATTACTGGGAACCTGATAACAGATAAATGAGATCCAGATTACAAATTATTGAGGCCCAAAAAACATTTCCAGTAGCCCAGACATCGATTAATGATGTACCACTTCAATAACATCTACGGATTCTCTCTATTTCTTTCAGTTTTTATATAAAAAGCAAAAAAAATAAAATGCATAAATCTAAAAGGTTATAGCTGATAAACAACAAAATAAAGCAAACCACTAGTTTTCATTTTTGTAATGTAGGGATTGTTTATTTGAAGCATTCATAAGATCAATATCATCCCTCTTCATTTGGTTTTTTACTTTTTAAGAGCGTGAACAAAATTTCCAGTGAATTTCCAGATTTCTTACCTCACTTTGTATCACATTAGGGAAAGTAAATACTTCACACTTATGAAAATTATTATTTCCAATATATGAGATTAATGAAATATTTGAGAGCAGCATACTACTGCTATATACAGTATGTATGGGTGAAATAATGTTGAACCAAAATTGTAAAAATAAATAAATTAAATGTTATGTTTTCTTTGGATGCATCTGTAGGTAGTAAATTGAAAAAGATGAATTGGGTACTATGTTCAAACTCTCATATGATGGCTATGGGATAGCAAATTATGTTAGACTAATAATAGATCTGTAAGAAATATTTTTCTTATGTATGTAAAATGGAAAAAAATATTACATTTATTACAATTGCCTATGAAATATTATTTCTTAATCTCGAAACAAACAATTTCACACTTGATCAAGACAATGACATTCAACCATATCATTGATACACAAATGAAGATCAACTGGACCATTTATATATCAAGCAGGTTACAAACACACTCCCACTGGGCTCCATTTAAGGGTTTTACTGCATCTTTTCTCGACTCAGACCGACTCCTTGTAATACAAACACGATTTTAACATTTCCTTGATGTGTGGTCATGACAACATAAATATTCACTGGGATATCTCCAGGGTACTGTTAACGTAATACAAACTTTAGCAGTACTATAATTATGCACTTTTTGCATTTTAAACATTGCACAAATTTTTGGGGGGGCTGATTGAAAATTCTCTATTTAGTTTTCGATTGCATACATTACAAGTGTGCCAATTCATCAATGCACGAATCTGTCAAAATTTGATAATACTCTGAAATTTGTGTCTGCTAAAATAAGTACCCTATAAGTTTATCATTTAAAATCCACGTTCATAATTCTTATTCAATTTTCAGTGAAAAACCCAGTGTTCTAACAAAAACAAACTATTGAAAAGGAATACATGTAAAGAAAAGGATTTGCTTTCATTGAATCTTTAAATAATTCCATTGATTGTGCACGGACAGGTAACATGTGTTTTTAACCCACAAGGAAGCATACAAAATCCTTTAAATATTGCGTAATACATGTACATATATTGACTTATCCAATAGTTTCAGTCTGATCTCTTTCAATACACATTCGTAAGGTATGATATCACTGATCAAACTTCAATAATATACATTGTACCCTGTGTGATGCTTGTCTGTAATGCCCCTGTGTTAATCTTACTGTCTTCCACACAACTGTTACCCTTACTATTAAGGATTTCTGAATACATTTTATTTCAAATTAGTCTTCAATTTAAAATAAGAACTGTAAAAACAAGACAATTTTGTCAATTATATACACAAACAAATCTAAAAAGCAGCAAAGGTACACAAATCTACACTTGGTGCTACATTACATCGTAATAAAGGTCAGATAATGTGAGGACAGGGTTTTCAGTTAAAATATTATAAAAGTTTTCGCTTTGTGTAATTTTAATTCCATTTTAAAATTTAAAAAAATCAAATTTCAAAATTACAAGCAAAAGTTGTTTTGCAATTCCAATACATGCTTCTCAAAGTAGGGAAAAATTACATGACAATATTTACATCTTTTTACTGTAGACCAAACCAAAAAATTACATATTGAGAAAAAAAATATCCAATAAATGAAATCTTGCGATATTTCCAATCCTCATTGATTTACTGGTGTAGAGATCTCAAGCAGAACAATTTGAAGACTTAACTACACAGAATTGTTTAATTACTGATAAATGAAATCAACCTGCAGCTGTCCGTCCCACATCACTCCATGATCTCAGCCCCTGACGCAGCAGGTTGGTGCCCCAACAAGCATTACTCTCACAAATACCGGTACCCTCAGACATCTACTCATCTAAGCCTATCACAACCATCTGTACCGCCCAGATATCAACCCAATTCTATCAACCCTCTTCTCAGACTTTCACTCCATTTTCGCACAAGTAATCTGTCAGCCACTTCCTTGTTGCAGCAAGCAGTTATCACCTCTCTAAAAAATCAAAATAATATACTACATTAATGCAAGAAGAGGCAAAATCTAGGTGGGAGGGGGCAAATCATTCTCAAGAGCAGATCTGTAATTTTCATTATGAACTCCAGGCTGATAAAGATTGTATTAAAAGCGAAATTCGGAAAAACACAAAAATTATGTAAACATAAGTATGACAAAATATGAAGATGTGTGCGTCAATGTGATATATAAATAATCAAGTGGTCTTATTCAAGGCATTTCAAGAACAATTGTTGGACGGAATATTCAATAAGGATGTTGAGTTATGTCCCTTTGTAAGACTTCAAGTCCAGGTTTATGCAAAAAGTAGAGTAATCCAATTCGATGTTTTCATGAAACTGTCTTACCTCAATCATATCACAAGTGCTTTTCATTCCTCACTTCACACTATTTGGCAAATCTACCATCATCTTCATTTGTACGTTTATTTCGTGAAGGACAGCTAAAAAATTCAATTTTGCAATTACAAAATGTACTACAATATCATAATAACTTGTGCAGGACAGAGAAGTCTCCCATTTGTGTTTTTTTACAAATTAATATGATTCATTCTTTGAATATCATGATTCTCATAATTTAAAGACATGTCTATAATCTGATATTGGCAAATCTTTTTTACATATTAATAAATGTGGGAAACACTCAGAATTCATAATTAAAGAAAATGCTTTAATTAGGTGATTTTAAGTTTAATATTGGAATTTCTGTAAAGATGTGAAATTTAATCTTGCCTGGTTTAATTTACTATGAGCCTTTTTAAAATAGAGCAAATTCAAGAAGCTGTGAAAAATATTCTGCTGTGAAAAATATTCTATAAACGTAAGCAGTTCCTCTAAGTTTAATTAGTGAATTCAACATTGGGCAAATTGTTTTTAAAGGCTAGATGATAAAACTTTAATATTAAAAGGAGAAAATATTTCCAGTTAGGTTAAAACTTGACACTATAGTTAAATAAGAAATTTATCTTTGTTGCAGCTTAAAAAAAAAACCCAAATAGTTCACTCTGTCCTTCCAAATTGTGAGATTCACATACACTGACTGGCAACAAGAATGTGGCCTCTTATGCTGTGTGATCAGATACTATACAGTAGTATATCATAGACAAAAATAGTGAAGGATTTGATTTTAACAAGATTGCTGTAATTTTTACCTGTCAAAGTCGGGAAGGACTTTTAAGTCTCTTTGTATCTGTTGTGCCTCCTCGATGTAGCGGTCAAGGTCCGTCACAGAGGTCTGGGGAAGTATACTTGGAATGAACTTAGCAAACAATTCGGGTTTCATCTTGGCATATTCTGATAAAAGAAAAGAACATACATTCAACTTTTAATGGTATAAAGCTTCTTGACAAAGATCATTTGATGACATCTTCAATAAGATTCATCAGTTTGGAAATACGTGATATTAAATTTTTACTTTCTTCACAACCAATGTACGTATTAAACGTGTCGCAACGTTTCAAGACCAACAGGTCCTTTTGTCAAGCTATAGCATTTGATGACCATATGTTAAGATGAATGTCATAGAAAAGATATTTTTCTAAATTGGAAAAAGCAAAATCCTGATGCAATTGGAGCAAAGATGCATTTTGATCTCTTAACGTTCCAGTTATAGAGGCACAAAAACCCCATCAGATAGTGATACTGATAGGAAGCGCCATATCTCCTAACGTTGCAGTTATAGAGGCACAAAAACCCCATCAGATAGTGATACTGATAGGAAGCGCCATATCTCTTAACGTTGCAGTTATAGAGGCACAAAAACCCCATCAGATAGTGATACTGATAGGAAGCGCCATATCTCCTAACGTTGAAGTTATAGAGGCACAAAAAACCCATCAGATAGTGATACTGATAGGAAGCGTCATATCTCCTAACGTTGCAGTTATAGAGGCACAAAAACCCCATCAGATAGTGATACTGATAGGAAGCGCCATATTAACAGAATTAGGCACTTTTTACTATGATGCAGAGGCACAAAGATGACAAATTATTGTCACAAAACCTGCAGGGAGTTAGAATAGACTATGTACTACACATGATGAGAGGAGGGAAACATTTTACACAATAACATACGACAAGCACTACATGATCCATTAAATATTAGTTATACCCAATCATCTGTTCTTATCATATACCATTCCTGTGTTTGTCCTACCTGGATTTATGGAGTGAATGTTTTTGATGGTGTTGGCCATCACTGGCGGGGAAATCGTGAAAGGTTTTGCATTTGCTTCTTCTAATAATGCTGCAAAAAATTATAAAAAACTTTTTTTTTATATGATACCTACCATTCATAGAATTAGGTCTATCTCATTCCACAAACAAACAATGAACATTATGCAGAGCTACATGGAAGTCTTGAATGTCAATACAACGAATATTGCCACCATGATCTGTGAAATGGTGATATTGAAAATAAGCAGTAGGCATACAATGTTAATTCTTGTCTTGTGAAACAATTGTTATGGAATAAGACTCCAATAATCTCAGTCGTGTGAGCAACTGATTCAAAGCATTTCAGTCTGCAAACTGGCAGATAGGACATTGGAAATTTAAACTTGAAATCGTACGTCAAAAAATCTGCATTCATGATGTATTGATGATGTAGTTATTGCAATCTTTAGTTGGCTGTTTCATTTAGAAAGGAGACAGTGTGAATGTAAATAGTTATTCATGCAAAGGAACCATTTCTAATATCAGTTCATGCAAATGTTTTATCAAAGAATATCTCTGCTATGTATATAGAGTAAATGACTTACTTAATAAAACACTTATATGAAGGTCTAATATATGTAGTTTAAAAAGCTTCTTCAGTTCTTCATTAAGATCCGTCTTTAATTTGGTTTCAACATAAAAACGATTCTGAAACAACAAGACATGAAATCCTTTATAATTTCTCAATAAACCTTTGAAAAGTGTGACTTTGACAATTTAACTGGTACATTATTAAGTTTTAGAACAAAGAAAATGTTGGATTCTTAAGATTGATTACAAATAAGATTTGTTTTTTTGCTGGATTTTCTGAAAGGTTTGTGTAATATTTTATACTTACATGTACATTCTATATACTCATTTTGAACAGCACACCAAAAGAACATTTTTCCTAATAGTGGGTCAAGAATGTGGCTGATATCAATTGGATTAGTTATACAAAATCTTACACTAGATTTATAAAATGAGTCTAAAAATTGTTCATATAGGCAAGCCTTTGTCAAGCTAATATGAAAAAGAATGTAACAAGTTTCATATATCTCATATAAAATAGCAACAAATCCAAGATTTATATTTTCGCATAATCAAGAATTTTGGTGAAGATTGGGGGGAAAAACCCCGAAATGTTCAGGTCATTCTTGAAGTGTAAAGTTCTTACCGCTTTAGATCTACTCACTCCATTATCAACAAAATTGACATGGGTGTATTCATTGAATAACAGGATAATCCTGTGATAAAAAAGTTTAACACGTCACAAACTTGCAAACTTACCATATAATTAAAGATTGGTACAATACCTCCAAGCGCTAAGATATACTGATTTACCAGGAAGGAAAACTTCTCTAAGAAAGACTTGGAGTTTTCTACATGCATCTGCAACAAACATTTTTTAAGTTATAGCATGATCAACTCCAATAATTATTTTGATGCAAGTTCATACTTCATAATGTGGATTTCTTACTTAATGTATAAAGTTATACTCAAACTAGATTGTATAGTTACTGGTGTATAAGGTTGTACTCACACTAGACTCTAGTAACTGGGTTACAGGTGTATAAGGATGTACTCACACTAGACTCCTGGTGTATAAGGTTGTGCTCACACTAGACTCTAGTTACTTGTGTATACGGTTGTACTCACACTAGCCTCTAGTAACTGGTGTATAAAGTTGTACTCACACTAGACACTAGTAACTGCTGTATACGGTTGTACTCTCTCTAGACTCTAGTTACTGGCGTATACGGTTGTACTCACTCTAAACTCTAGTTACAGGTGTATAAGGATGTACTCACACTAGACTCTAGTTACTGATGTATAAGGTTGTACTCCCCCTAGACACTAGTAACTGCTGTATAAAGTTGTACCCACACTAGACTCTAGTAAACTCTAGTTACAGGTGTATAAGGATGTACTCACACTAGACTCTAGTAAACTCTAGTTACAGGTGTATACGGTTGTACCCACTCTAGACTCTAGTTACAGGGGTATAAGGTTGTACTCAGACTAGACACTAGTAACTGCTGTATAAAGTTGTACCCACACTAGACTCTAGTTAGTGGTGTATACGGTTGTACGCACTCTAGACTCTAGTTACTGGCGTATACGGTTGTACTCACACTAGCCTCTAGTAACTGGTGTATCAGGATATACTCACACTAGACTCTAGTTACTGGTGTATACGGTTGTACTCACTCTAGACTCTAGTTACAGGTGTATAAGGTTGTACTCACACTAGACACTAGTAACTGCTGTATAAAGTTGTACTCACACTAGACTCTAGTAACTGATGTATAAGGTTGCTCTCACACTAGACTCTAGTTACTGATGTATAAGGTTGTACACACACTAGACTCTAGTAACTGGTGTATAAGGTTGTACTCACACTAGACTCTAGCTACAGGTGTATAAGGTTGTACTCACACTAGACACTAGTAACTGCTGTATAAAGTTGTACCCACACTAGACTCTAGTAACTGGTGTATACGGTTGTACTCACTCTAGACTCTAGTTACTGGTGTATAAGGTTGTACTCACACTAGACTCTAGCTACAGGTGTATAAGGTTGTACTCACACTAGACTCTAGTTACAGGCGTATAAGGTTGTACTCACACTAGACTCTAGTTACAGGTGCATAAGGTTGTACTCACACTAGACTCTAGTTACTGGCGTATACGGTTGTACTCACTCTAGACTCTAGTTACTGGTGTATAAGGTTGTAATCACACTAGACTCTAGTTACTGGTGTATACGGTTGTGCTCACTCTAGACTCTAGTTACAGGTGTATAAGGTTGTCCTCACACTAGACACTAGTAACTGCTGTATAAAGTTGTACCCACACTAGACTCTAGTAACTGGTGTATACGGTTGTACTCTCTCTAGACTCTAGTTACTGGTGTATAAGGTTGTAATCACACTAGACTCTAGTTACTGGTGTATACGGTTGTACTCACTCTAAACTCTAGTTACAGGTGTATAAGGTTGTACTCACACTAGACTCTAGCTACAGGTGTATAAGGTTGTACTCACACTAGACTCTAGTAACTGGTGTATAAAGTTGTACTCACACTAGACTCTAGTAACTGATGTATAAGGTTGTTCTCACACTAGACTCTAGTTACTGATGTATAAAGTTGTACTCACACTAGACTCTAGTTACTGGTGTATAAGGTTGTACTCACACTAGACTCTAGTTACAGGTGGATAAGGTTGTACTCACACTAGACTCTAGTTACAGGTGGATAAGGTTGTACTCACACTAGACTCTAGTTACTGATGTATAAGGTTGTACTCACACTAGACTCTAGATACTGATGTATAAGGTTGTACACACACTAGACTCTAGTTACTTATGTATAAGGTTGTACTCACTCTAGACTCTAGCAACTGGCGTATAAGGTTGTACTCACACTAGACTCTAGTTACTGATGTATAAGGTTGTACACACACTAGACTCTAGTTACTGATGTATAAGGTTGTACTCACTCTAGACTCTAGTAACTGGTGTATACGGTTGTACTCACTCTAGACTCTAGTAACTGATGTATAAGGTTGTACACACACTGGACTCAAGTTACTGATGTATAAGGTTGTACTCACTCTAGCCTCTAGTAACTGGTGTATAAGGTTGTACTCACACTAGACTCTAGTAACTGGTGTATAAGTGTATAAGGTTGTACTCACACTAGACTCTAGTAACTGGTGTATACGATTGTACTCACACTAGACTCTAGTTACAGGTGTATAAGGTTGTACTCACACTAGACTCTAGTAACTGGTGTATAAGGTTGTACTCACACTAGACTCTAGTAACTGGTGTATAAGGCTATACTCACAGTAGACTCTAGTAACTGGTGTATAAGGTTGTACTCACAGTACTCTAGTAACTGGTGTATAAGGTTGTACTCACACTAGACTCTAGTTACAGGTGTATAAGGTTGTACTGTATAAGGTTGTACTCACACTAGTCTCTAGTAACTGGTGTATAAGGTTGTACTCACTCTAGACTCTAGTAACTGGTGTATCAGGATATACTCACACTAGACTCTAGTAACTGGTGTATACGGTTGTACTCACACTAGATTCTAGTAACTGGTGTATAAGGTTGTACTCACACTAGATTCTAGTTGCTGGTTGAGGTTTTTGAGGTGCCGTATCATATGGTTCATCAGGTCAGTGTATAGGCGGTCAGAAAACTGTTTACATACACACTTGTACACACAGCTGTAAAGAAGATATTTTATGTACATGAAAATGGAAAATTCTTATTAAAATATTATCTTTTTCACAGGTTCAGGTGAATTCTTTTGTTTGTCTCTTGTCAATATACATAATCTGCTTCCCTACAAATGCAAGATCAAAGATTCTGTACCGATGGAGTTTTTACCTGTTGTTAGTATAGGAGATGGAAGTTTTACCATCCTTAGGAATACTTTGACCTTCACATATCATTGCTTTGTAATAATTAGGTGTAAAACTTTCTCTTGAATATTTGTTCAGTGGAAAATAATAATTATTCTTATGGTTATTTTTTACTCCAATAGCACATTTGTTTATAGAAGATAGTATAGGATTTTCACCTGTTTATCTCAACCTGTAGCAGAGTGTATTTATAAATTATTATGTTTATTAAAAAAAAAGACTTATTTTTTACCAATAGATATTTACCATATATTGACCAGTTATTTTAAGGGAGTTTACACCATATTTTAATTAATCATCATTGGGTAAACCATTATTGTAGGTTCTCACGACTAATATCGTATACTTTCAAGGTTCGGTTTTGTCATGATCTCCAATAGCAGAGGAGATTATTTTTTATAAATATCAACTGTTCTACTTTATTTCAATTGTTTTTCAATAAAATGTTCTGTTCCATGGTTTCCTATTTATGTATCTTGATAAAGAAGCAGATAATTACGTCAAATACTTGACAAACTCATAATTTCTGTACTGTTGGCATTATTTCTTTGTCACACATGGCACATACCCATTTAAGTCATCTTTATCCTATAACAATACTTTTGTAAGGATCCAGTGTTATTAGTGATTTTTCCCCCCACTATATACCCAGCCATCACTCGTAATGGGGACATCCCACTATCAAGCTACCACTAATCTGGTAGTTCCACTATCTACCCAGTAATTCAGAGGACATAATGACTATTTTCTATACCAATCTGTCCCAGTAATCCAGCTCTAACCATTCAGACACTTAACAGGGAAAAACAATGTCTGCCTTATTCAGGCCATCCTCGTTCCCAGGTACAAATGACACACCTGGGGCCGAGGATGTATTCAGGCCATGCTGAATTACAACTGTATGTACTTGAACTTGACAGTTTTGAGAAGATGATATATTTATCACATACAAACAGTAGGAAAGATGAAGCAACAGTATCTATATTCTAGATTCTGTAGTCTATTTGTGGTTAAATAAACTTCAGAACCTGAATGTTGTTACTCATTTTTTCCTATTATTTGTGTTGACCTTCCTTGATGGAGCATTAATAAATACAGTAGGGTATCCGTCTTCGATTTCAACTACAATCCACTTACGACCCACGACAACCAGGACGTTGATTCTCTAACTCCTTCTCCTTTTTGGGACCTGATTTTACCCTACACAGTTGTTTGTAGGTATAAGTAATAATTACCTGTACATTTGTTCATAGGAGATGGCCATGTACTGTCCTGGAGACATTGTCAGCAGCTGGTTGATGGCCCCCTCCAGCTTCGGCCAGTAAAGTGACTCATAATCCTCTGTTGTAATGGTCATCATCACTGTTACAACATTTAATACATGAATTATTTAATCACTGTTACAACATTTAATACATTAATTATTCAATCACTGTTACAACATTTAATACATTAATTATTCAATCACTGTTACAACATTTAATACATTAATTATTCAATCACTGTTACAACATTTAATACATTAATTATTCAATCACTGTTACAACATTTAATACATTAATTATTCAATCACTGTTACAACATTTAATACATTAATTATTCAATCACTGTTACAACATTTAATACATTAATTATTCAATCACTGTTTCAGCATGTACCGGTACATGTAATACAATAACTATTCAATCACTGTTACAACATTTAGTACATTAATTATTTAATTACAACACTGTGTCGCCTCCATTGTTAACCTGTCATAAGACTCACTTTTTTTACAGAAATAAAAACACACACATATAATTTAAAGAACAGTTGTATGTGTGTGTCTTATAAATCAACACCATAAGTGTTCCCTGATGTCACAGATCTATACATTCCTCTTTTTACTGTATGACACTTGTAGATGTACTGTACCTTTTTCACTATAAACTTGTGTCTTGTTTAATTTCTACACATAAGTCAAGTTAGATATATACATGTATCTATAGAAGTTTCAATAAAAATCCTCCATAGCTTTGATTAATAAATATGTAATAAAATGTCCATTCCCAAAAATTGGTTGATAGATTGATAATGATATTTGACTTTACTTATCAGCAATTTTGCTGGCTGCGTAATTGTCAATCTTTTGAAATTTGCAATGGGGAGATTCCATATACTAAAAATAAAACATTAATAATGTGTGTGTATAAACACACTAAGGAAAAAATAACACATTAAAATGGCACATTTTGAGTTGTTCTTTCAGATGAAATCATTAGATTCTAAAATGTAAGAAGAATCTAACAAATTAATTGGTTAAAAATGTGCTATTTCAGGGCCCAAAATTGGGAGTTTCCCTCCAAAATAAGGAGAGTTGGCAAGTATAATGGCTGTGTTAATGCTAATATAAGGAGATTGATTTGGGGGACTAACTTTATACGTTATGGGACAGTCAGTCCAAGATATAACACAAATCTCAATGTGGTACTATTATCAGAACATGATGAGTTTATAGAAAAATATATATGCAAAATGATATGATCAGTACTGGCAGAGTACAGAATAAGGAAGCAAGCAGGACAGGTCAGAAGGATCCAACGACAGCTCATTATGGTTAAAGATGAGATGTGACGACCACCAGTCTATATGATTCGAGTATATATGTGAATATTATGAATAAATAAAAATAAATGACTATAGTGTTCTAACTGCATCGTGTACATGCATGTTATAAAATAAAATGTTCAGTTGAATTCTTAATGAAAGCTGAAATTGATAATCCTCAATTACACAGACAGTCCAGCAAAATCAGTGCATTACAGGCTAGTGTATATAACTTAATATGGTTACTTAAGGCTAAGTGATTCAGTCATATTGATCAAACACTTGGTAACAGCTGAACATGATGACTGCAAATGCCAATACTTAATTCAATAAATGTGTTGTGGCTAAGTGTGCCCTTTATTGTTCCTTGTGATAAAAATAAACCACTGAGATTGATCGTCTCCTTTGAAATCAATTTAAATACACACACACACACGTTCCAAAGGGTGTAAGATCCATATTACTGTCGAGCTGTGCAGTATATTTCTGTATATGTTATGCTTTACTTGATCTGTTGATAGAACAAAACTGAACTTATGTATCGACGATGACCTGTGCGATTGAAGTAAATGTTTGAAATTGATTATGGTATTTTATCTTAATATAAAGGTAAAGTTTTATGATGAAAACACTATTTCTGTATATAGAAGGAGCTAGATTCAGATCCGAGTCACCAAGTGGCAAGTCGGCAGACTGCTTCCAATGAATTTCTTACTCAAGTTACTCTAAACAAAACGAAATACATCGAATTGTCAAATCAACGCCAGCATCTTTAAGTTTCTGTCTGAAGGCATTGAATGAGACAGTGAACGTTTGACTATGATATCATTTACCAAAGACAAATATTAAAGAACGATTATTCTGACTTGACATCTTTTAGTTTCATTCAATCTGATTACCCATATTTCCAGGGCGTAAAAGTGGAGATTTGTTCGACTGGTCATCTTTTTCCTCTGGATTCAAATCTGGCTGTGTTGAATCCGCCTCAGCCTCCATCGGTTCGTCCATAATTAAGGATAGAACAACGTCCTAGCACACTTTCTTCGTAGGTCCACGTCTGTTCTCCTCAGTTTTTGTATGGGCGGCCATATTGATTTACAGACGTTCAAGGATTTGCAGCGCAGGACCGCAAGGGTTCGCTAAGCAGCATCAGGCACTGAATTAGAAAATCAAAAAGGGTTACCAAACGATTAAGACGATTTATTTAACGTTGTATACCATAAACATGATACAATAAGATTAATATTTGTTGATAAAGCTGCTCAAAACATACTTTGATTTTGTTTCGTTAGTGTTGCCACTAGATGATCTAAATCCATGATTTTTTTACGGGGATTCCGGGGCGGGATATTTTGGGTCTGGGGGATTCCAGGGCGAGATATTTTGGGTCTTTGGGATTCCGGGGCGAGATGATTTGGGTATTGAGCAAATAATCAATCGAATCTGTAAGAGTTAATTTAGACTTATTAAAGAAATCAGTTTTAATCAATGATGAATTAGATCAAGATTCTATTGATACCTGCGTAGGTAATTTTATTGATGTTTTACTTGGGACTATGCAACCTTTTTTTCTAAGAAAACCGCCCAAGAATAACACTGATAAGCCCCCTGTTAAAGTTGACACCCATACTTTTTCTAGTTCCGAAGATAAGCCCTGATTTAACGACCGTACGTGTTAGAGCTCCATGTAAATAATATTTAGTTGCTTTGAAGAAATTCAACATTAACAAATGTTATTAGACACGCACTGTTCTTATCCGTAAGAAAAAAGAGTACAAAATCCTCGAAAGTAAGTTTAAGAGGTAATATTTGAGCGCAGAAGGTGATATATGTTGGAGTATATGAGAAAACATAACCTCGGGTCTTTTAATAAGAAATTTGGTAAGAAGAAAGCTAAAACACCAATGTTTAATGGTAATCAACTGTACAATCATTTCAAAAACCTGTCTTCTGTACAACAAGATAGTGATCCAGTCCATCATGACGACTTTAGTCTCACTGATAATGACACTGTTTTTGAGGAATTAGATGCTCCTATTTCGTTACAAGAAGTCAAAAATGCTGTTCGGAAATTGAAATGTGGTAAATCACATGGACCTGATGGTTTGTTAAATGAATGTTTAAAAGCTGGCGAGGAATTACTTCTTCCAACTTTATCTACGTTGTTTAATTATTTACTAGAATCTGGTTATGTTCCTTCTAATTGGTCGTCAGCAATAATTATTCCTGTCTATAAGAAAGGTGTTTTAAATGACCCTAATTATGGTTCTCAAAAATAATGGAATTATTAGAGAATCAGAAAGCTGGGTGTATAACGGCAACAAAATTTCAATTGTGGATCAACATCAAAACTATGCTTCACCTCTTTGACACATATGTGAGTAGTGTATTATATTATGGCTGTGAAATATGGGGTAGTTATAAAGGAGTTGAAATAGAAAGGGTTCATATGGAATTTTGTAAAAATATACTGTGTATTAAAAAATCTACGTGCAATGCTATGGTATATTTTGAGCTTGGACGACTTCCTCTGGCAAACAATCAGATGCTTCAAATGTTTAAATATTGGTTTAAGTTCTTAAATTGTGAAAATTGTATTCTAAAAGAAGCATATCAGTTTTTATTGAAAGAAACTTGGAGGGAAAACCCGAAACGAAATTGGTTATTATTCATAAAGCAGATTTTTTTTTAACTAGGGTTTGGATATATATGGTTAAGGCAGGCAGCTACCGACATCTGTCTACTACCTATTATTAAACAGCGCATAGATGATCAGGCAAAACAAACTTTATTCAACTCGTTGGCCATCTCAAGTAAATGTGATCTATATAGATACATGGTAGATACCGTGATGTTGCAATATTATTTAACAAAGTTTATACCAAAACAACGTCGAATTATGATTACCAAATTACGTATGTCAGTTCAAAATCTTGCAATAGAAACGGGAAGATACAGGAATGTTGCAAGGAATAATAGATATTGTAGCAACTGTGACCTAATAGAGATAGAAGATGAATTTCATTTTTTATTTACCTGCCCACGTCATCTAGATCTAAGGAGAAAATATATTAAAAATTATTACTGGCAAAAACCATCTGTATTCAGACTTATCGAATTAGTAAATACATACAATGTAAAAGAACTGAATGTGTTAGGTAAATTTATTACTGAAGCTAACAAACGAAGAATTGTTTAACTTATAAGTTTGTTTTACGTAATTTTGTATTACTCAATCGTATCATGTCCATGTTTTAGTCGAACAATCTTTCATGTTTAAGAAGGTAAATACTCAACGTTTTTTTGTTTTTGTTGTTGATGATGATGATGATGATGATGATGATGATATAGATGTTTTCGATGATGTTGATATTTTGATGATGATGATGCTGCTGCTGCTGCTGATGATGATGATGATTATAAAGATGATGATGATTATGAAAGTGGTAATGATTTCAATAATATCGGTGATTTGTAAAAAATGTACCAGTTTTATGATGATGATGTAGTATTTAATGTTGATTTAAAGAGATGATTATTTCATGATGATGAGTTATAAGACGACGACGACGGCCACTACGATGATGATGATGATGATGATGATGATAATGATGAAAGCGATGAATTATGATTTCGATGATGTTGTTGTTGCTACTGATTTGTGATGAATGTGCCAGTAATATGTAATTATATGTTGTACTTATATGAAATTATTTGTTGAAAATCCTATAAGTTGTAAAACTTACGGAAATAAATTGAATAATGTGGATTTTTAAACTTTAGAGGTATTAGTTTAATTAGCTGTCTTTGTAAACTTTTTACCTCTGTACTAAATAAATGTATTTTAGATATGTGTACAAAGGACCTGTTACAGGAACAAAAGAATTTTGCCCACAAAGCAATTTAACCAGTACTGGGTTATATTTGTAGCTCCCTAAGACACGACCCATGAAATATTTTTTTTAAATTAAAAAGGTCCCCAGGGCCTGTGCTATGAACTATTTAGTGCCGCCTTCCAAAGGTGTACGACAGGGTTCACTTTTTTGTCCAAAAAACTATCAAAACAATGTTTTACGCTACCAAATAGTATTATATTATTCAAAATAGGATCTGCTGCAAATTATGAACTCAAATATGTAACAAAACATTGCATAATTAAAAAGTTATAAAATCTTAAACTCTAAAAATGTTGGTATTTTCATACACTTTTTTGCTACATCAATTGTTTTACGGAAGTAAAACACCAATTTCCGGTTCTTGTACACCAAAAATCTTTTAATATTATTTGGTGCATTATGTTGAGATACGATAGCGAAAAATTCAGAAAATTTGAGAACCGGTAAAATTGTCATATAAATGTCAAATTGTAGCAATATTTATTTCCAAATAAAATCCAACAACCTTATGACCTATAGCCATGTTTGATAATTTAACAATACGTCGCACCAATTTATTATCGCAAC